GCATGTGATGTACAAAAAAAAGACATACTCATATTAAAATGGAATTTTCTTTGTTATATTTGGGCAGATATTTGTAATTTTTGTGTAGCATGCAAATAATCAAATTAGTCGGTAAAATTTTATACATACTTGAAGAATATGTGTATGTATTTGTAGAAAAAAAAGTTGAAATTTTCTGAAACTGTTTGAAAAGAGCTCCATGGAGCTCGGTCTATGCAACACCGTTCTAACAAATTTATTATGTGCTATTTGACAATTTCAATCATTAATATTTTCTACGAACAAACCTGTGATCGAATGATTTGGAGGACAATGATATCCTTAACCCACCAGAGTATAAGTCTTGAACATAAAACTGTTGCTCGCATTATTTCTGGATTAATTTCAGACATTTCGATGATGTGCGTTTGATGGGAGGAGACGTTCCCGTCAACTACGAAGGCATATGTGGCGACTTCGTTAATCTCAAGATGATGTGCCGGTTCAGTCTCTTGAAGGTGTTCATAGGGGTGGGTATGTGCGTATGTATGAGCATCTGTATTGTGCTAAAAAAATCATTCTTATCTTCTTAACTATGATTCAGTTTTGAATTTTATATATTTGAACTCCTAACGTCAAGACGTTTAGAACAAGATTAATCTTGGATAATTTACAAACACATATGAATTTCAATCTTTCAATCCACGTGTTCACTCAATCTATTTTAGTGTGTGAAATTGTTTTTTCTTTTAAATTTCAACAATCAACACATGTTCTAGTGAAATATGTTATTGAAATGGGTGATATCACTTTTTTGGAATTAGTGAAACTAGGTTTTAAAATGAGTGATTTTTTTTGAATGAGTGAAATTGGTGCTTGAAATGAGTGAAATCGTTTTTAAAGGAGTGGAAATATTTTTCTTATGAGTGAAACGGTGTTCTAAAATAAATGAAATCATTTAAGTAACTGATTTTTTTAATTGAGTGTTTTCTTATACGAGTGAAATCATAACACTGTGAAACATGTGTTTTTTTCACTCTTTTCAAAAAAGCTGATGTCATTCATATGAAAGAAAATGATTTTCTTGAATATGTGGAATGGGTTATTTCAAATATGTAAAGCTAATTCTAGATGGTTTTCTTGCCTCCAATCTGGTTTTATAAACATGTTCATTTTCAACCCGGATTTGCTGCGGCACGAAAGAAAGAATGATCGTGCACTATTGATTAAATTTGCCCCTAGAGAGTATTTTAAAAATGTTTAACTGATAAAATAACATCATATTCAGATTCTACATATTTTTTAATCAATTTTGTGTATCACACGTTAAAATTGAAGTTAGGGTTTAGAAAAATATGATTTAAAGAAACATTCGAACTATTCATTAAGGTTAGACCCTAAATAACATCTTAATAATGTTTAACCTGTAACATCATCATATTCAGACTATACATATTTTCTAATCAATTTCTATATATAACATGTCAAAATTAATGTTAGGGTTTAAAATCTATGAAAAATATGTTAAAATGCATATTAATCTGCAAAAAGCAATATTTTCTGGGTGGAATACGGGTATTAACCAAAACATTGGGGTGGGGCGGGGATTCTGCAAAAAACCAAAAGTTTTATGGAATCATTTCAAACAATACTACTAGTTGATTAACCGAAATATCAAGGCGTTGTCTACCAAAAAACTAGTCTCACTTAGAAAAGGATCACGAGTTGGTTTCAAAAATTGTAGGAGGTTTTCTGTAAAAAATTATGATAGACGGGTAGAAATGGGAGAGTATCAGGTGATACGGAGCCTTAGATGCTCCCATGATACGATCTCCTAGGAGCCGTTGGATCTCAGATTCAACGACTCTCGGAAGGCTTTTAATAGTTTGTGAAAAATACCTTTTGAAGTCTAAAAATTACGAACAAGTACGGCAACCTTTCACACCAAGCCTGGGTAGAAATACTTTTTCCTTTATTAGTAGGTATAAATTGATTGATCTGGCTTGTGTAGTCGATTCGCTCCTATACGGCGCTTCGAGCACCACTATCGAGACCTAGGGAATGTTTGCTGAAGTGGAGAGCGAGATGGGCCGGCCAAACACGCGGGATGCCACAATCTTGTTTTTTTTTCCTTTTTGTAGATTTTCTGTTTTATATATATATATATATATATATATATATATATATATATATATATATATATATATAGGTTTGCTATAGTAAGCCTGAGCGCATTGTAATTATAGTGTGCTCCGACCCACCCTTGGTTGAGCGCGTAACGTTGGTACGGTTATTTAACCACCAAAAAAAGACGCCGGGTCCGCTCCACTCCACTCCTGCATGTCAAACTGATGGTAATTTGAATACTAATCTATGGTAATCCAAGCTGGTACCTTTACGATGA